TTGTGATTGTAAAATCTTGGGACCTTCGACTGACTTAACTGATCTCTGGTAAAAGTTCTTCCCAATCTTTACCAAATCACTTATGTTTATGTATCTACTAAGTTTGTTAAATTGATATAAAAAGGAAATTGAAACATGTTATGCAGCCTGGATATTATATAAAGAAAAAGTAATATGGTGTAAAATCGATTCGCACTCGACATCGATATTAAAAAATTGTATTGATATTTGCAAATATTAAGAAATTCTTGAAGAGAATAATCAGTTTTTAATGCAATAAGCTATATTTAACCAATTTTAAATATTCAACGATCAACATAAGTAACTTGTAGGATAAACTTGTAAGATATAATAAAATTTTCTTTGTTTTTCACTAAACTTACAATTGGAAAACTACAAACGCTTGAATACATTTCTACAAAATATTCATTGTGATAACTTCAAAATAAATGTAAAATTATATGAATAATTAATAATATAATTATAGTTACTAATAGCACATACTATCGCTATAATAAAGGTAAAACATGTTTCTTATAATTTTAGTTCTATTTTTTTTATTTTGCCACTATATTAAAGCTATACATATTTAACGTTGCATAAGATTTATTTTTGAACATACAAGAGACTGCGCATTTTGTAATTGGTTAAGTTTTTATTCCTTTACTATAAACGAAAATACTTCATTTATATTTTTTAGTTCCGTATACGTTTCAATGTTTGTAATGCTCAAATTTTCGATTCATATTTTATTTAAGTATGCTTTTTCATGTCGTTGCTTGTACCATGTAAACTCAAGTTGAATATTTTATTTTTTATATATACGATTTTTAAATTTCGGAAAAAGGAATGTCTTCCACATGTGCACCACTTTTTTTTCAATTTCATGCGAATTGTTGTATAGTGAAGTATTGAATTCTTGAATAAAAAATCGGAGTCTTTCATGCGTTCTAAGTCACACTATTATATCTTGTATCTTGAAACCTCGTGGATTTAAGGATCTAGAAAAAATGGAAGGCGACAGAGTTTATAGTTTTCATGCTATATGCAGTCCTAAAAACTTATCTGCCCAGAACGCTATATAAAAATTTTCTTAACTTTCATGCTGCTATGAGAATTGTATGTTCAGAAACTCTAATAAAAAATTATGGGATCAGGCATTGGTATTGATCGAAAAATTTTGTTCGCGATTGGTAAAACTATATGGAGAATGCGTCCTTGTATATAATACCCTGTAAACAATTTTATATTGCCGTTAGGTTGCGGTTATATAAAAATGTTACCTAGTTATATAACGTCAACCTCACCGTCCCTAAGAAATTTTATTACCTGGAGATAACTATTTCCTACCCTGTTAGTTAACTTGTTATATAACATTGTTATGTTGCGGTAGCATACGGTAATGTACCTATGCGATATGAATCAGCACTTTTTGAAATGCGTTTAATTAATGCGTAAATAATTGATTTTTCTCTAAAAAAAAAGATTTACTCATATTTCATTGTATTTATTATTTAAAATTAATATTTTACAATAAACAAAGTAACAACAAATATTTTATACTAAACAAAACAGTAATAAGTATTTTATAACAAACAAATAGCAACAAATATTTTGTACTAAACAAAACAGTAACAAATATTTTATAACAAACAAATAGCAACAAATATTTTGTACTAAACAAAACAGTAATAAGTATTTTATAACAAACAAATAGCAACAAATGTTTTGTAAACTAAACAAAACAGTAACAAATATTTTATAACAAAAAAATAGCAACAAATATTTTGTACTAAACACAACAGTAACAAATATTTTATAACAAATAGCAACGAATATTTTGTACTAAACAAAACAGTAACAAATATTTTATAACAAACAAATAGCAACAAATATTTTGTACTAAACAAAACAGTAACAAATATTTTATAACAAACAAATAGCAACAAATATTTTGTACTAAACAAAACAGTAATAAGTATTTTATAACAAACAAATAGCAACAAATATTTTGTACTAAACAAAACAGTAGCAAATATTTTATAACAAACAAATAGCAACAAATATTTGTTGCTATTGTTTGTTATAAAATACTTGTTACTGTTCTGTTTAGTATAAAATATTTGCTGCTACTTTGTTTGTTATAAAATACTTATTACTGTTTTGTTTAGTTCAAAATATTTGTTGCTAATTGTTTATTATAAAATATTATAAGTATTTTATAACAAATAGCAACAAATATTTTGTACTAAACAAAACAGTAATAAGTATTTTATAACAAATAGCAACGAATATTTTGTACTAAACAAAACAGTAACAAATATTTTATAACAAACAATAGCAACAAATATTTTGTACTAAACACAACAGTAACAAATATTTTGTACTTTTGTACAACAGTGACTTATTTCATAAATATAGCAACAAATATTTTAAACAATAAAATTTATTTCACAAAAATATAAAAAGAAAAGAAAGTTACAAATTATTCTTGTATTAAATTGATTGGATTCAGTTTTTTCACGGCTCTCTCGTGCCTCTGCCTGGCGAACCGCAGCCACTCACTCGTTATTTTATCAATTTCGCTTTCTGGCAAGCTGTATTTTGCCACAAAAACACCTTTAAACAATTAAATCATAAATAAACTACATTTCAATATACATACAATATATAAGCTGTTTACTGCATTTATTACCTTTGATTATGTCTATATATTTTGATATTATACATGGGCAAGTTTTTCTTGCGACCTAGCCATGAATATCTCATGGCTAGGTTATCCACAAACATTCTGCTTAATGTGTTCCCAATATGATCTTTGGGATCACGCCCACCAATCCTGATAGCAAACTCGGTCTGCAATTAAAATCATGCTTTGATTAAATATAATTGCATTTTTTAAATAATTTCATATATTTTGTACCAGATCAATTTCAAATTCTTCTGATTTTTCTCCACCTAGGTTTTCTTCTAAGTCCTTGACTTCTTCCACTGTCCTCAAAGGAAAATTTTTATCAAATATATTTGTTCTTTTTTTGAGGGAAGATGCCTGTATTGAAGGCTTTTCTAGGTCGGCTATTTTCTCCTCTATAATGATCACTCTTTTTAAGACATGATCAACAGAGGCTAAAAAAAAAATAAAAATTGGAATATGTATATTATGTATATGTATTATGAATATTATATAACTTTATAACTTACCTTGAAGAGTTGTAAAGGCATTGATCATAAAAGAGATTAATTCTGTAATAAAATTGTTATAATTACAATCAACATATTTAATTTATTAACATGAGAACATACTTAAGTATTAAATTACCTTTGGGAGCACCAACAAGCTCCTGAATGTGTGCTGCTCCCACAAACATTTCCTTCTCCCTATTGCTTTGAGGAACTATGATAAAAATAGTTACTATTAAATTTGAAAAATATTTATACTTAATAAAATCTCAAATCATTATCATTTCTTGTGATTGGCCCAGTCTCTCCAGTTATTCTGGAGCTTACTCCACTTACAGTAAATTCTGGAACAGAGCTCCTTTCTGTAATAAAATTGTTATTACGATCAACATACTCGTCTCTCAGTCTCTTTTCCGCTCTTCCCTTTGGTGCTACAATAAAAGCAATAAACATTTAATTTGCAAGATGTACAAAGTAAATTAGTATAATGAACTACAATCATTACTTGTCAAAGCCTCGATTCTTGCTTCGAGGGCAAGCACCGTGTCACTGGTCTTCTTTCGGAGACCCCTCCCAAGCTGCTCCTCTGTAGATGAGTAATCTGAGTCAGCTGCACGCTTGCGAGCTGACTCATAAGTGTCTAAAATCAGAAAACAAATAATGTACATGAAATTAGATTACCTAAACTCTAAATAAATAATATTCTCACCGCAGAACCCAACAACCGTTATGGGGGTTTTAATCCAAGTGGAGTAATCCGGCTCCACGCGCCTTATCATCAATCGTGTCGGATTTCTGCATTTTGATGGCCACCAGCACTTTGACCACGAACCATCGTCACCTAAAATTAACCAATTACTTGGAATTTCAGTGTGACCAGATTCGTCACAAATAACCGCAAATTGCTTTGTTCTACAAATAAAGCAATATAAGCATATTAGTTTAATATTACAATATCGTTGAATCACGAAATATATTATTAACTTACCCCAAGAGATCCATAGCGTTAATGTTAAAATTCAACAATTCACTATCACAAAACTATAAAAAACAACAAAACTCACAAACGCTAACCTCAATATAAGAACCCTTTCGACGCTACAGGAAGAATAGAATGAGGCTTTATTTACATTCCTTAAAGCACGTGTTGTTTTAACATGAACTTGTCTATGTTGGCACAGACTCACCAACCATAGATATACAAAATATTATCATGATACCAAACAAATGCTTATTTATCTATGATACCAACATTAAATAAATTATAATTGACGACGGCGCCTTGAACTAATCAAAGAAATAAAAAAATTACTTTTGAAGGTTAATTCACAATATTAAATTAACATCGTGTGAAATATTTTATGAAGCGAGAAGATAATAATGGAGTTAAATATAAAAAGACGTAAGCAAATGAAAGATTTGACACCGCGAAGAATACGCCAGATTGTCGCTCAAACAAAAAAACATTATTTGAATAGTATAAAAATCAATCGGAATGAAAGTGTATCATCTGAACAAGAAGTAAATAGTAATAATTATAATGAAAATATTCGTTATAGTACCTTTTCAAATCTATTAGACACCAATTTCGAGAAACAAAATTTTGAAGATCATGCCACTTCAGAAAATGTATTTTGTCAAGATAATGATAATACTACCCTAAGGGAAGATATACAGAATTTGGCGAAGAGAGACAATTTGACTTTGAATACTGTAAGTACACTTTTAAAAATTTTGGTTAAGCATGGTCACAAGGACCTACCTGTGGATGCTCGAACGTTGTTGGGCACTCCAAAAACTGCAACAAAAGCTATTCAAAAATGAATGGCGGATTTTATATGCATTTTGGTGTTGAAGAAGGAATTCTCAACTCCATGGAAAAACATTTTTTCGAATGCCCTGAGAAAATTCACTTACAACTAAATTGTGATGGAATGGCAATATCTAAAAGTTCAAATAGCAGTTTTTGGCCTATATTATTGATGTCAGATATAAATGAAAAAGTGGAACCTTTCATTGTAGGCATTCATCATGGTAATAGCAAGCCAGCCGATGCCAATATTTACTTAAGTCAATTCGTAAGTGATATGAAGACGATTTTGAAAAATGGCATTATTTTTAAGGAGAAGAAATGTGATGTTTTAATATCGAAAAGTGTGTGTGATAGCCCAGCTCGAGCATTCATAACCTAGTGAAAGGGCATGCTGGGTATTTTAGTTGTCCAAAATGCATTCAAGAAGGCGATTTTGAAAAACACGTAATTTTAACAGAAATTGATGCTATATTGAGAACAGATGAATCATTTAGATCAAAACAACAACCAGAGCACCATACTGGTCTATCTATTTTAGAGGATTTGGGGATCGGTATGGTTTCCCAAGTTGCATTGGACTATTATGCACATGGTGTGTTTGGGGGTGACAAAGCGCCTGATTTCTCTCTGGATGTGCGGATCTAGAGATATTCGCTTTACGGACGAGCAGAAAAGGAATATGAACAATTATATAATAGAGCATAGAAAGTTGTTTCCTTCGGAATTTTCCAGATTGCCTAGAAGGCTAGACGATCATAAACATTGGAAGGCCACTGAATACAGACAATTTTTGTTGTATTCTGGATTAGTAATTTTAAAACCTGTGTTAAGTAACCAATTGTTTTTAAATTTTTTACATTTCAGTTTAGGCATTAGAATACTATGTGATCCAGAGGCATGTCTCAACTGGAATAGTTTGGCAGGGGACTTATTAAAACTTTTTGTAATTAATTATTCTGATTTATATGGTTCAGATAGATTAACATTTAATATTCATAATATAATCCATCTAGCTGATGAAGTTAAGAATTTTGGTTGTTCATTAGACAAATTTAGTTGCTTTCCATTTGAAAATTATTTCAGAAGTGTGAAAAATAAGATTCAAGATTCCCCGAAGCCCTTGCAACAATTAGTAAACAGAATGTGGGAAGAAAAAACTATTAAAAGCCAAAGTGAATTTATTAAAATTAAAAGTTTTCCAGTAATACACCGGACAAAAACATCAAAAATAGAGAAAATTGAATTTAAAAATTTTTCTTTAAGTAATATAGCTCCGAATAACTGTTGTTTAACAACTGAGAATAAAATTGTTTTAATAAATAACATTTGTGATGTTAATAAAATATTGTGTTCGGAAGCGACAATGAGAAAATCATTATTTTCAAAACCATTTGACTCGAAACTATTTAATATTCATGTTTTTGACCCAAAAATTATGAGAGAAGTGACAATATCTGTGAAGGAAATAAAACAAAAATGTGTAGCACTGCCTTATACAACTAAATCTAATTATGTGGCTTTTCTGCACCAGTAATTTGTATTTTTGTAACTATAGTTCTTTATGTAAATATAATTGTAAATAAATAAATGTTAATGGAAGTAAATATATACAATTTTTATAGACTTTTTGATATTTTGATTAACAAAATTTGTTAATGTTTCAAAATAAATGTTTTACAGGTTTAAAAAAGTATTAAATCTTTCAAACTTTTTCAAACATTCTCAAATCACCCGTAGGTTTCAAATTGTTAAAACTGTCAAAACTATTCAAACTAGTTGAGAGTGGCATTTTGTCTTAACAGAACTTGCATAATCTTCCCGGCATGTATAAATAATCAACTTTACTAAGACATCATATATTATAATTTGCGACTGATTTATAAGTAAACTGATTTGCTGTCGGAAAATTTTTGGAAAAGCAGGTCCAGCGGTTATAGAGATCTAGTAAAAAAAATGACATTAGGCAGTCGTAAATGATCATTAGACTTATGCACATCCAATTATCAGATATTTTATGGAGGTTTTAATAATATATATCAATTTTGTTTACGTTTCTATGGGTTCCGTAACATCGTTTGTCCGTTGGACGGCGTTGGAAGTTTAAAATTTTTTGAAATTAAAAAAAAAACGTTTTTTTTTTAAATATTTTGAGAATTTGGAAATTTTTGTTATATTCGATTTTTTTTAATTTTTGAAATAAATAATTTTGTAAGAATTTTTTTTTAATTTTTTAAAATTTAGTTTTTTTTTGAAAATGATGAAAAATTTCGAAAATTTGCATTTTTTGAAACTTTAAATTTCTTTGAAAATTTTGATTATTTTTTTTTAATTTTTAAAATTTAAAAATATTCTGTAAATGCTTTTTTGCACATCATCTACTTAAACAAAATGTTTTTTGAATTAATCTAATCGGATAATCCGTTCTCTCAAAAACTGCATAACCGTTTTTACACCCTTTACGCTCCATACCTCCGAAACGGCAAAATTGCCTTTTGCAAAAACGCCTCGCGATCGTGTACGAACCAAATGATTTTTTAATCATACAAATCGGTTATTCGATACTGTTGAAAATGTCGAGGACATTTGTTTGGAACATTAAAACAACTTAAAATTAAAAATCTTGGTACGGAACCCAAAAAAAATTATACAAAATGGGTACACATTATTAAAATGTCTATAAAATATCTGATAATATACATTATCAATTGTCAATAAACATTTTTGACCGCCAAATGATATTTTTTTAACTTGTTTTTATTGAGAGTTCATAACCGCTAGACCTGCCTTCCCAAAAATTTTACCAGTTGTTCATTTTGTCAATACAAGTAAAATGTTTTTTGAATTATTAAAATCGGACGCTCCGTTCTCTTAAAAACTTAGTTACCGTTTTTGACACTTTTTGCCCCGTATCTTCGGAACGGTTAGACCTGCTTTCGCCAAAAACTAATCAGCACGTTTTCCCATCAATACGGATCGAATGTTTTTTGAATTATTCAAATTGGTTGATCGTCGACGAAAAATTGTATCCACACACACGCACACACACACACACATACATCAATTTTTTCTAAGGTATGCCAAAATATTCAGAAACCTTTGAAACGTAAAGATATATAAAAAATTCATTTTTGATTTTTTGCGATTACTATAGACCACCAATGCAGAGACGAAGAACTTCTGGCAATAGTAAGTATAATTTTTCTTCTATTTTAAATATTACTTATATTACTATGTGATACATTCTGCATTTTATTATTTTAAGATGAATTAAATCACCTCGTAAACTCAATGGAATACGTATTGAAAAGACAAACAGAGTCTCTTACTAACATGATGGAGAAACAGACAGAGGCGCTGCAATGCATAGCCGATCAATGAAATTCTCAATAATACATTAAAAAATAATTTAACAGCCAATAAATTTTGTTTTCTATTCCTTTATATATATATATATATATATATATATATATATATATATATATTTATTTTATTTTTTTATTTATTTTAAATAATTACATTTATGTAGCTATAAAAATACAATCTTTTTTTTTAAGTTAATATTATGGTATTAAAATATCTTCTGGCATAAGAATTTCTGATGTTATATGCCATATTATCTGCCTCATTGTACTTCTGAAATATTTAAATCAATTAATTTTAACTACACATTTGAAATACATTATTTGGTATCTAACCGTTTCCAAAATCATCACTATATTCCGTCAGTTCTTCATCCAGAGGAATATTATTTACTCTGCATATATTATGCAGAGTAAATACTGCATACACAATTTTTCCTGCCACATCAGGTGTATAATGCAGTGTCCTGTGACGATGCAAACGTCGAAAACGACTTTTAACAACACCAAATGTTCTCTCTATTACATTGCGAGTCTTTTTGTGGACTTATTGTATTTCTCCTGGGTAGAGCCTACTGGTGTCCTATATGGTGTGAGTAGGCAATGTTCCAAGGGTAACCTGAATCTCCTGCAAATGTACAACTAATATATATTTTTTCCTTATTGATTTGCGATATTAAATATTTTGAATTGCCCAATAAATATGTCCCATCA